TTTTTGGTAAACACACACATACACACACACACACACACACACACACAACGCGCGCGCGCGCACACGCACGCACACACACACACACACACACACGTGCGCGTGTGCACACACAAGCTCACACGCGCACACGCGTGCATACACACACGTACACTCTTACACACGCACATACACGCACTTTACTGGATAAAGTTCAACAATAAGATAAAGGAATAAAGTTGGCTTGAGAAATTAAAATAGACAGTTATTCTACTTTAAGAATATTTTATAGACCTAAAAAAATATTTTAAGTAAAAAGAAATCCAAGGAAGTACGTCTATATGCGAAATTCACATCTTATTTTGAAAGAGGGAATTTCGGCGTCAAAAAGATACACGTATGCCACGTAAGGAACGTTACTTAAAATCGATAAAGGATTTCACAGGGGAATGGATCAACGTAATTCAGTTACAGATGTTATTACATTTATTGAAATAATATTTCCGCTGCTTATGTATCTAAATTTCTTATATTTAACATTGGTCCGGGAAATTCGACCTTATTAAATATATTTTTATACAATAATTGTACCTATTTCTGCCACCAAGCAGGTTTGGTCTTATCAGTTGCGGTCTGATGAGTATAAAATAAAGAGTCAGTATAATTGGGGGCTGTAAAGTATCTCATCTCAGTCCTCGGAGGTGAAAACGCATCTGCTGCTTTGTTTGAAATTGGCTGCATGCGCTACAGAAACCACTTATATCGGGTGCCATTGTAAGTTCAATTTTATGATTTGCCTAAATATTTGTACTTTTTTCACAGTTTTTATTATAAAGTAAATTTTAAATTAATTTCGCTTTAAATTAAATATGCTTACAATTAAAACCAACCGTTTTCGCCTCACGGCATAAATATCAGTACCAATGTAAAGTTGCAAACACAAAACCGAGGCCAAACGTATTAATTTTGAAAGCTTATTAATTGCTGTATACTTTATAAGTTACGGTTTTTGACCCCTCGCTGTTGAACTACTATTCATTAACGGCAGTTCGCAAGCATTCATTAACAGAAGGCTTCCGAAGCGCCTGACTTTGAGTTGTTTATGATGTTTCATTAACTAGTTTCAGACTTCGACCTCTCTTTATAGTTCCAATAACTCAAGCAATGTGATATATTAAACTAATCTTACAGACTTAGGACTTGAAACTGTTATTTGTTGGCCATACAACAACACAGGCAACAGATAATCGAGAATGCTTATAGCATTAACTTGGCCATTTGTAGCCATACATGAAATAAGGAATAATAATTCAATAAAGAATAAAATGAACTGTTTCGTATGGAATTCGAATCGCCGAACCGTTGTTTAGCAACCACACTCTTAGCCTCTTAAATGTTGGTGGCCTTGTTGTTATTATTATTATTTGGGGTATCTATACAGTTTTCACATCTGGTTGGGTTCCATAAATAGTTCCATAAATTATTATTGGGGTATCTTTATAGTTTTCTCATCTGGTTGGGATCTATAAATATATAATTATAAATGTAAATGAAAAGATAAATATATACATAAATATCAATAAAATAAAATAAATACAAAAATACATAAATAAATAAAAGCCCAATCAGATGGAAGCCCTCGGCAGGGGAGACCAAACGGCCGAGGGTTAGGGGGAAAGGGAAAGAAACCGGTGGACGACGCGGGCAGTATCAAGGAGCACCGCCTTCTGCATTTGAGCCCGGAGCGGTCCGTCACGGAGTCCCAGTCGCCTCAGATGACCAGAGAGGCTAACTGAGATTAGCCCATTTGCAGAGACGACTACAGGAATATTTTCGGTCGGCAGACCACCCCACATGTCGGTCACCTCGTAAACATGGTCAAGATATTTTGATTGCTTATCTGTTTCGGCTTTCACAAGGTTCTCGTCGTACGGAATGCTAATGTCGACCAAAAATATCCTTGACTGTGCCCGGACCATCAGCACAATATCAGGCTTATTCGCAAGAATAGTCCTGTCTGTGATGATGGCCCGGTCCCAGTAGAGCCTGGCGCAGTCATTTTCGAGCACGGCTTCCGGCAAGTACTTGTAATACCGCTTTCGCGGCATTATTATTATTATGGGGTATCTATATAGTTTTCTCATCTGGTTGGGTTCTATAAATATATAATTATAAATGAAAATGAAAAGATAAATATACATAAATATCAATAACATAAAATAAATATAAAAGTACATAAATAAATAAAAGCCCAACCAGATGGAGGCCCTCGGCAGGGGAGACCAAACGGCCGAGGGTTAGGGGGAAAGGGAAAGAAACCGGCGGACGATGCGGGCGGTATCGAGGAGCACCGCCTTCTGCATTTGAACCTGGAGCGGTCCGCCACGTAGTCCCAGCCGCCTCAGATGACCCGAGAGGCTGACTGGGATTAGCCCGTTTGCAGAGACGACTACAGGAATAATTTCGGTCGGCAGACCACCCCACATGTCGGTCACCTCGTGAGCCAGGTCCAGATATTTTGTTTGCTTGTCTGTTTCGGCTTTCACGAGGTTCTCGTCATACGGAATGGTAATGTCGACCAAAAATATCCTTGATTGTGCCCGGTCCATCAGCACAATATCAGGCTTATTCGCAAGAATAGTCCTGTCTGTGATGATGGCCCGGTCCCAATAGAGCCGGGCGCGATCATTTTCGAGCACGGCTTCCGGCAAGTACTTGTAATATGGCAATTTCCGTTCCACGAGACGGTATTTCAGAGCGAGCTCCTGTGTAGAATTCTGGCTACTAGGCTGTGCCTGTGCAAGTACTCAGAGTTAGAAAGCGCCGAACAACCGGAGATAACATGCCTAAGTGACTCACCGGGATGGCGACAAGCTCGACAGATGTCCACGGTGCCATCCTTTAGGATTTATCTCCGATAGTTGTTGGTCTTAATAACCTGATCCTGTATTGCACAGACAAAACCCTCGGTTTCCCCGAAGAGATCACCAAAGCGTAGCCAGTGGAGGGAGGCTACTGTGTCTACGAAAGGCTCATGTAGAGCCTTGTAGAACCTCCCGTGGAGCTCCTTCTCCTTCCATCCGGTCTCCCGGTCGGAAATGCTCTGCACTGCCGGGTCTTGCCATTGCTCGTTGGCTAAGGATAGAGGGGTAAGCCCTTTATCACAAGAAATGACGTCCTTATAGAATGGATCATCCGATCTCGCCAGGAAGTAATCACGGAGGCTGCACACTTCGCGACTATGCACGGTGAGCGCGCTCAAGAAGCCACGACCACTATGCTTCCGCGACAAGTACAGCCTCATTACCGACGGTCTCGGATGATGCATCCTATGGGACGTCATGGTAGTGCGGACTTTTCTATCCAGGGCGTTAAATTCAGTCTGAGTCCACCTGAGTATGCCAAAGGTATACATGAGGACAGGCATGACCCAGCCCTTATATGCGTGTGCCTTATTCACACCGGACAAAAGGCTGTTAAGCACTTTGGTCATGCGTGCATAAAACGCGTCGCAAACTGACTGTTTCATACCAGTCTCATCGATCCCGATGTTTTGTGACATACCCAGGTATCGGTATGTTTCAGCCTCGGAAAGGGTCCTTAAGTTGACGGGCATAGATAAGTCTACGCCCTCAGAGTTAGCAACCCTTCCCCTTTCAACATGGAGGACCGCACACTTATCCGTCCCAAGCTCCATTCCAATGGAATTGCTAAATTCACAAGTGATGTTTAGCAATTCCATAAGATGGGAGCGACTGGAGGCGAATAACTTGAGGTCATCCATATAGAAAAGGTGGGTCACTTTTGTCCCTCCTTTCCGTAGCTGAAATCCCCTCCCGGAGCCCTCCAGTAAGGTACTGAGAGGGTTCAGAGAGAGGCAGAACCAGATTGGACTCAGACAATCGCCCTGGATGATACCCCTTCTTATCCTTATGTGGTTCTCCGCAGCCATCATCCGCTCGCCCAGATGACAAAGGATCGTACTCCACTGCCCCATACACTGCTCGAGGAAGTCTCTAACTGTACAGTCTATCTTGTACAGCTCGAGGACTCTCTTTAGCCATGTACGGGGCACCGAGTCGAATGCCTTTCTGTAGTCTATCCAGGCGGCAGAGAAGTTCCGACGGTAGCGTTTCACCACTTTGCCCGCGGCCACGGTTGTTTTTGTCGCCACTCCATTTTGACGCGCGACATCTGAAGTCCAGGTGACGAGTGATTCTCGCGCTCAAAATAGATGTCAGTGTCTTGTATATGGTCGGTAGACACGTGATGGGGCGGTATTTGCTCGGGTCTGTGGTACCCTGGTCTTTAGGAACCAAATGAGTGATCCCAGTAGTGAAGAGGCTTGGGAGCGACTTCTGGTTGAGAGCCTCTTGAAACTGTCGGGCAAGCACAGAGTGACACACCATGAACCCCTTCAGCCAGTAGTGATGCAGCCCGTCAAGCCCCGGACTTTTCCAGTTCGGGGCCCTACGGACCGCCTCAGCTACGTCATCCGGCGTTATGATGACGGGGTCCATGGGCGTAATAGCCCGCACACTGACTCGCCACAACTTCCGTCCAAGGGCCCTCGCTGTGGTTTACGGGCTCTGACCACAGGCCGCGCCAGAATGCTACAGTGTCGGCCTGATTCGGTGCTGGACCCGTTCCTCTTACCATTTGGTCGCTTCAATGATTCATAGAGCCTCTTCTGATCACTCTGGAAGAGACGATTCTGGTTGAACCGTGTCGACCTCTCGGTATATCGCCGAATCCGCTTTCCCCAAGCAGTGATTCTCTGCTTCAGATCATCTTCGTGTAGTTCCGGGGCTCAAACGCCATCCTGACGGTGCGCACAATTCTTGGCCTGTTGTTGCCTGATCTGAAGCATATCAGTCTGCCGATGAGAGCTCTAGCCTTTGCGATACGTTCCTCAATTCTTCTTCTCCATGCTGAGATAGCGCTACTATGGCCAGTAGCGCGTCCAGCCGTGGAAACCTTGGCGCCTGTGATACGGCAGACGGCCAGCGCGGCGCCAAAAAAATTCAGTCCGTCTCGCAAAGGTCCCGGCTGGCTTCGAAATAGGTCACCAGCATTGGGTTCAGAGCCCTCACGACAGCCCGATTCCGCTTGCTTAGGGCTTTGCGGGGAAGTCGCGGTCGATTTTCGAGAGGCGTACTGCGCGTTTCCACAATCGCCTCTTCCAATGTACTCCTCATATGCTCTAATTCCAGTTCCTGGGCGACTGTTCCATCATCGTTTGAATCAACCACAACTGGGGTATTCACGGCGGCATCCACGTTTGCGGGTTGCTCTACCATTTGTGGCGCCGCATCCTCAGCCGTAGCATTCTCATCCGACGAGGGAACAGCCTCACGTCGTAGCCGTTCGAGTTCGGCGACATCAAATATATTTGAGCGCAAGATATACCGAACTCGGTCTGCCAGGTTTTGCTCTGTGACGGTTAAAGATGGCTCCAGCTCAGCAAAAAGACGATGCATCCTAGCCCGGTACGCCAAACATCCAGTTTCTCCCCCTTTCGCCCTAAAATACGCCCGCAATGCGTTGCTGTTCATCTGGGTTGTCCAACGCATGCGGCCTACTCCACCAGAGGCGGGTGCCGATTGCTGGGCCCGCGAAGACCCTGCCGACACCAAGCCAGCTGGTGGGGATGATGGATGCGAGGGGCTGCTGGGTGGTCGTAAGCAGCACCTCGCGCTCGGCTGGCGGTTCGCATGCTGCCGCGTCCAGCGCCAGCTCCAGACGCGCCCTGGCGACCTCCAGGCAGCGGCCCTTTGCGCGTTCTATTTAATTCCATCATCCATTTTAGGGCGTCATTTAGCGGGAGACGCCCAGACCCGGCGCCGTTTCATGTTGAGGCCATGTGCACAAGCGGGCCTTTGCACCTTCAATTTTTGCCGAGGTACGGCACTAACACCTCTTGGCAAGGTGCTGACTGACTGCGCTGACGTAGCGGTTTTGTCACATAACCGTTACGTCAGCGGGCGATGGGGTCGTCACTTCCCTACGCCTTTTGGCCTTTCGGCTTCCGGCAAGTACTTGTAATACCGCTTTCGCGGCATTATTATTATTATTATTTATCAATAACTCAGGTAAATACAGCCATTTTTTAATACATTTAAACTAGGAATTAGTGAAGATTTATATTGTTTATTTTTAATATTTCCCCACAATATCCCTTAATAATGTTCCTATAAAATTTTCAACTTCTATTAATCGGTCCCTCTGATCTTCTCTCAATCATTATGTCCGTATCCCTACTCCGCACTGCACCATCTTCCTTAAAATATCCTTCATTACCACCGCTGTGTGCTTGCAGACCACATTATTTTATCTCATCCTTCATTCTCTGCAATGCGAAGCTCTATCAACTTTTTTATAGAATGATTGTGAAAAACAAGCACACAGCCCACCTGATCGTAATACATAATCCATAGACACCTATAATTTATCTTCAATCAAGAATCAAAATGCAGATGCGTGGTTATCCTTGAGGTAATAAGGGTACATCATAGGAAACGCAGCAGCTTTGTGTATTTTTGCGGTGGTATTCTGAGAGAGCTTGGTGCTACCCCAATCGAGCCGACCTATTCGTGCTACCATCATAATATTACTGCAGCATGGCTCTACCACTTAAAATTATAATAATTAATATTAAAAAAATAAATAAAAATTATTATAATTACCCCATAACTAATATATTATAAAGTTGCTTAATTCTTCTAACTGTGCCTTAACACTGACTTTAGAATATATTATTGTTTTCGTCTTAGTATTTAAGAAATCGGTGAACTTATATAAAAAACAAAGGCTTCAAATATAGTACGTCAATGATTTATGAACTTGATTAAAATTCGTTGAATCTTTCACATACTGTTGACCCATGGGAAGTAACATTACTTACGAGGTTTCTCAAAACCTCAACAAGTCTGCCCACCGCAGTAAGTATGGAATTGTTTTCCAAGAAAAGAAAGAATATTTATGTCATATTCTCAATTATTTTCACTGACAGGGAGTTTCAAAAAAAAATCTTACAATATTATACAGCTTCTTCTAATAACAACTCAAAAGTAGAAGTTTTTTTTTACTTTTAAGGCTGGCAACACTTACAATTCCATGGTGTTGCAGTTGTTATGGGCAGTGGTTTCTGTCCATATTAATCTACTCTATGGGCAGTGGTCGATATTTACCATCAGGTGAGCCGCATGCACGTTTGTCCGCTTTTTTATAAAAAAAAAACATTAGGTAAGAGTGCAAAATAACTAAAAGTTTATTCTTTATAACTTTTAATGTCTAAAGATCATGATAGATTCATTAATGTCAGCTGTTTCTAATTCAGCTATAGATTGAGTGTAATTAGATTCCACAATCGCCTTCAATTTGTCATTATCGACCAAAGCTTTTGTTTTAAAGGCCATGGGGATTTTTCGGGTCAAAATTTTCAGAAAAGAAGCGGTCAAAGATATAACAGTTAATGAGTTCGTTTATAGTATTCGCTCCGTAAACGTTGTTGAAGTTCCGTGCTGCTCGTGCCACGTTGCAGCCACGACGGTACTCATATTCCATAATTACTCGAATTTTTGACACATCCATGATGACTAAAAAGATTCAAATGCAATCTATACTTAATATTATAAAGCTGCAGTGTTTGTTTGTTTGTTTGAACGCGCTAATCTCTAGAACTACTGGTCCGATTTGAATGATTCTTTCAGTGTTGGGTAGTCCATTTATCGAGGAAGGCTATAGGCTATGTTTTTTTTTTCAAAATTAGGTATCCGTAATAAAATTGCTATTTTGTTACACAAGGTGTAAAATCTAAAACCTATTTTTGCGTGCGCTGCAAAAACTATTGACAATAAAACAAAATGATGTACTACGGGCTTGTAGATCCTATTAATACCTACAAAAAAGTCCGCGAGAACATATATCTAGCTATCATGGTTTAATCACAATAACCGATTTTGTGTTCAAAATAATTATTAAATCGTCTGAAGAAAAAAAAACTACGTTAAATATGTATCGTAATATTAATCTTTATCGAAATTAAGCAATATGTTATGAAGAGTATTTACGTAGATTAAAATACTTTTTGTTTCATCTCAATCGGATATTTCATTTAAAAGTTATCACGTGTGTAAGATGTTAAGAGTTGGTACCTATTAATGAGTTATAGGTCCATAGAGTTTTTTATCAACATAAAATCCTTTAATAATCTTTTTTCGAAATATATTTGTTGATGATTGTAAGTATAAGATCTTTGAAGAGTATAATAAATACACTTCTAAAATAACTCTGCTAAGGAAATCCACGCGCGCTTGATGCAAGCAAGACGAGACGCTGGCGGCGCGGCGGTGGGCGAGACGAGGAGGCCGCGCTTGCTGGCTGCCTGTCGCTCCCCCCCGCCGCGCCGTCCGTGTGTTTTGGTTTACAAGGTACCATGCGCGGCTCACACGCGTGGTCGGCTCCCTACAGAACGGTTGAATGCAGCGTTGCGTTCTTTGAAGTCATTTACGATAATTTCTTTGATATATATTTCATACGACTTTTAATAATTACTCACCTTACGTTTCTTTTACCTGATTATTACGTTTCAGTTTATTTTAATTAAGTTTTAATTTTATACGGTTTTTCTTTTACCTCTTTACTATAATATCTAGAAAAAGAACTCGATTGCGACTTCTACGCAGCAATGAAACACCCGAAGCAAAATCTGCACAGGTTGGCTACTCAACGAGCGATCGGTGAACAAAACCGTGTTAGGGAATCGAGTGTTGAACGTTCGCAGCGGTTAGTCTCACAAAATATCCGTACTTCGGCGAATCGACAACGGGAATCAATTGCTGAACGTTCTCAACGTTTAGCCGCACAAAATTCCCAAACTTCGGCAAATCGCGAGCGGGAATCAAGCGCTGAACGTTCTCAACGTTTATCTACACAGAATTCCCGCACTTTGGCAAACCGGCAACGGGAATCAAGCGCTGAACGTTCTCAACGTTTAGCTACACAGAATTCCCGCACTTAGGCTAACCGGGAACGGGAATCAAGTGCTGAACGTTTCCATCGATTAGTACAGCAAAATGCACGAACAGTAAGGAACAGAACTCGCAAGAAATATAATTTATTGAATTCAGCATTTGCTTATGATTATACCCTTGACTATGCTGAGCTAAATGGTACTAATATTTGCAGAATGAATAAAATATGTAATTCATGTCAAGCAAAAAAATGGCCGGCTGAAGCTCCTGGAATGTGTTATAGTGGTAGCAAAGTAAATATTCCTAAAATTCCAGCACTAACATCAGTTCTTAAAGATCTAATATCAGGCTCACATTCATCTTCTAAGCATTTCTTAAATCACTCTAGACAATATAGTACTCTGTTTCAGATGACTTCATTTGGTGCCAAAGAAATTCATGAAGGAAACTTTATGCACACTTTTAAAGTCCAGGGGCAAGTTTACTCTCCAAACATATCTTCACGATTATAATACTTATATTCAAATTTTAAAATATAATCTCCAAAACAGACCAACGAATGATTTTAAACTTATAATTCATGCTGATGTGAAAACTCCTAATGAACATCGAGGTCGATATAACGCGCCCATGGTAGATGAAGTAGCTGTTCTTTTAATAGATGAAGACAAAGGTGCCCGAGATATTCATTCTTGGGGCGATGTATACGCTTTTACAACAAAATCCCAGAAAATATACAAAATTTGTCATACACAAAGTTCAAAAATGTTATTAAACTAAGTTTGTATAAAAAGGGTTATTATATATTAGGAATTTAAGATGATAATAACTGGGGTGGCAAGTAAATTTGTCTTGTGTTGTTGATGTAAAATGATGTAAGTATTATTAAAAAAAAATGTCCCGCTGGGTTTCTTGCTGGTTCTTCCAGGAAGAGGTTTTTTTGCGAACCAGTGGTAAATTAAAAAAGTGACTTTCAATAAGTATTTTTATAATCTACATTGAATAAAAAGTTTCTTTTTTTTTTTTAAGTGTTAAATACCAGAGACGGGCGCCTTCAGCGAGTTTCTGAAATATCTTAATATATATTAAATAGATCTTATGACCCACTTCAATATCCTTTACTGTTTCCCTTTGAAAATGACGGATATTGTATAAATATTCCAGAGAAAAATACTGCTGCTAGATCTAAAACTATATCATGTATGCAGTTTTATGCATTTAGACTCATGGTGAGAATAAATGAATTTAACAGCATACATTATTTTAAAGGATTATTTAATCAATACTGTGTTGATATGGTGGCAAAAATGATTTCTGAGAGGCTTGACTTCATAAAAAGAAATCAAAAAAAACCAAGAGTTGCCGTGGTTAATGATGGCAATGTAGATGCTTCTAATGTTGGCCAGCAGTTATATTGCCTTCGTTATTTACAGGATCTCCTAGATACATGAATGAAAAAAGTCAAGATGCCATGATCTATGTACAGGAAATTTGGAAGACCAGAT